TGGTTATGTGACCTTGGGCAGGTGACTTAACCTTTCTGAGAATACATTTCCTCATCAAATTCAGTATAAAGCAACTGGCATGTAGTAATCTTCTACAAATGGAAACTATTATAGTTATGAGTACCGAGGGAGCTTCAGGACACCATCCATGAATTGGCACTAAGCCATAGAATCAATGGCCACCATGGTCAGAGCAAATCAGAAGTCCAGACCCTGAAAAATGTATGCATAATCTTTTTCTTACCTGGGTGAATCTTGTTTCTTCCCAACTTAATGTTACCTTTCAGGATCTGCCAGTAAAAGAAGCAGAAAGAATCCTGTAACCCTCCTAGCAGCCTGGAAACTTTACGTTTGGCGCAAGGTTGGCCTTACCCACAGACAGGATGGGCAGCTGCCTTCATGACAGGATTTAAGAAAAATCATAAATCACTCTCACCCAAATTTGTATTATGCCGCCTGCCATATGGGTCTAAAACTCCATTATTATATATATTTCCCTCCATCTGGGCAATGGCTTCTGAAGACCTCCCAGCACACAGTTGCCTGGGAGAATGCGCAGGTCAACATACTGGTGGAAGTTTCCTGACCTGCAATCTAGCTTCTTCAATAAAGAAGAATGGTCTGGTACTCAGGGACGAGTAAGTTTTGACAGGACTAGAGATCTTAAAGGCCCAGAGCACAGGCCTCTTCCTTTCAGGAGGCATACAGTGGGAATGTATGGGCAGCAGAAAGACACCAAATGGGCATGGGACCTACTAAGAATGCCAGCTGGGCCATCTGTGATTTAGGGAGCTAAGACATGGAGTTAGTCCTGACTTTCAGTTCACCTTGACATTGACTCTACCTGGCTCTTGTACCTTCCAGTGCAGCCTTGCTTCCTGCCAAGAGCAATGATGTACTTGGGGAAGAGGTAGAGAGGCAATCCTAGTGTCTGGGTACTCTGAGCAACAATGCCCAGGATCTCAATGATTGAGACCAAGCAGCTCTGTCTCTGACCAACACTATCATGACAGCAGCTAAAAATCAGTAACTAAGAGGGTGCTCTGCAGATCACTGGACTCTAGAGGGTCTTTCAGTTGGTCCAAAAGTCCACCCAGAATTCAGCATCCAAATACATGTGACTGGTGTGTGTGTGTGTGTGTGTGTGTGTGTGTGTGTGTGTGTGTTTTAATGGAATGAGAGGTTTTTTTTTTTAATGTTTCCCAGGCTGGCCTCGAACGCATAGCTTCACCTCCTCAAGCACCAGGGAAACAGCTGAGCCACAGCAGCTCCCTGGTTTGTGTTTTAATTGTAATCTCTGAGAAGATATCAATATATATTTGAAACTGCAAAGAAATGAATATTTGAAAAAGTATAACCATTGTCATGGTTATTTACTAAGGAAAAAATGTGTGTGTGAATATTGAATATGTATTTACGTGTGTACAGACACACACACACACCACACACACACACACACCACACACGTACACATGACACATGCACATATTCTTCCCTCCTTCCCTCCTTTCCTTCCTTCCTTTCTTTCATTGCCAAAAGAGGCCAACGAGATGTGTGAGAACTGGATTCTCTAAGATCTGACCAGAACAGGCTGAGGGCCACCAGCGTGGATGCTACATCTGCGGGACTGGACACTTTCCTACCGATGTTTTTTGACTCAGGATGTTTTGGCATCATGGCAGCACAAATTCTCTCTCTAATCCAGTCTGTACCTAAACCCTGTGTAGGCAGATTCTGCCCTAAAAAGAGCAGCCAGAGAAGTGAGAACCTGGTTCCTCCTATGTTACCCTAAATATTGCTGTGATATCAGGGAAATAATATTCATACTTATAACAACTACAACCAAGTGGGTCTCTCTGGGCCTTAACTAAACTTTCCTCCTCTGAATTATGGGGAAACTTCCTTAACAAGGTTGGAAAAACTGGGAATGAGAGAGAATTGGGAAGGGGAGAATGTGTTAAGCAGGTGTAAAACACAGGAAGGGGTTCTGTAAACGCTCCATCTTGAGATGGGGGCTTTGTGGATGGGAAGAGGAGAAGGGAATGAAGGGTGGTAATTAGCTTATTATTGTTTCCCCTGGGTGTTGTGAAAATTCCTTAGGAGACACTTGTAAAAAAGCAGAGGGAAGACAGTAAATACACATCTAATGATATGCTAAATAAATTATTATTGTTATTATTATGACTGTAATAGCAATTGCAACTTGCTTCCTGCTCCGAGTTTCCACTAAAGATGGGAATTGACCCCCTTACAGCCAGCCCTCTGCAGCTGCCAACAACCCCCAGCGCCGCCCCCCCACCGCTGCCCGGAATCAGTCAAGTAATTGGGCAATATAGACTAGGCTTCAGTTAACAGCCATTCTCCTGGTTTCTGCAGAAGGAGAACCGAACAGCTCAACAGAAGCACGCAAGGTCTCTGCCAGGTGCCTGCTCTAGCCAAAAAAAAGAAAAAAAGGAGCTCTGCCCAGAATCATGGGGGTTATACTTAGGGAATAACTTCTTGGGATTTCCAAGCAAGGGAATTTAGGGAGGGCAAAAGCGAAGGCAGACAATTAGGGAGAGGTTGGGTCACAGAAACAAAGGGGAAATACACAAAATAGGGATACTCAATCTAGAGAGCATAGGTTTCTAGGATTCCTGCAGTTGTCAAGGGCACTTCCAGCATTTTGCTAGGAAGTGAGCCAGTTGTTTTTGTCAGCTTCTCAAAGGGGTCTGGGACCCAGAAACGGCTAAGAGCCATTCCAACCCAGGTAAAAGGGACCCAGGACTCTTTTGGCTGAGGACAAACCAATAGACCCTGGCCACTATTGTAATCTGCCGTTTACAGATTACAATAGGGGTAAGCAACCCCCTCCATCCCCCTACTTCTAGGCAGAGCCCAGGCACCTGCCCTGAGCCCTTCTTAGGCAAATATATGTAAATGTAGGATCATCAGTTTTCCCTCCCTGCATTTCTTTAGGGAAAGTAACAACCGTGCCTGTAGGCCATAGGTATTCATGAGGAGAAAGGAGAGGGCTCGCTGTCTGAGAGACAAACTGCCAAAGGCTACAGACTAGGAAATGGGATTCCAGGTTTAAGATAGCTCCACTCTGGACCTCAGTCCTTTACCTAGTCACCTAGTCACATGGTGTGCATTGCTTCTAAGGATTCTTAGGGGAAAAGGAGCCAAATTCGGGAGGGTCCTCCTTGCTTAAGCCTTGACGGGAGAGGGGGAGACCAACACTTCTCTGCAGACCGGGGTCCACACTAGGCAGAGGAACTCCAAACCTGCCCCATTCACCAACGGTGCCTGGCCTAGCTCCAAACTCCTGAAAAAAACAATTTCACAGGAACCAAAAAGGGTACACTGGTGATACAAAATAATAATAATAATAATAATAATAATAATAATCTGATTAGAGGCATTACTGGATCAGAAAATTTGTGACCTTTTTAACATTAAATTTTTAAAATATTTTACTATTGGCCGGGCGCAGTGGCTCACACTTGTAATCCCAGCACTTTGGGAGGCCGAGGCAGGTGGATCATGAGATCAGGATTTTGAGACCAGCCTGGCCAACATGGTGAAACCCTGTCTCTACTAAAAATACAAAAAATTAGCTGAGTATGATGTCGCATACCTGTAATTCCAGCTACTCGGGAGGCTGAGGCAGGAGAATCGCTTGAACCCGGGAGACAGAGGTTGCAGTGAGCCAAGACGGCACTGCTACACTCCAGCCTGGGCTACTGAGAAAGACTCCATCTAAAATATGTGTGTGTGTGTATGTGTGTGTGTGTGTGTGTGTGTGTGTGTGTGTATACACACATATATATAACTATTAAATTAAACATTTTAAATATTAAGCCTGATCTGTTTGGTAGCCCTGGAGCAGGGCTGAGTCATAGAGAGAAAGCTTTCCTTTAGTCAGGCTGGCTGTCTCGCACTGATTTATTTTTGTTTTATTTGTGGATTTCTTAATGGACCCAGTGGTGGTTCCTCTTTGCACCCCTCGAGTTGACAGGCAATTCCTTCCCAGCCCAGGTCTCAGCTCTGGTTTAGTTTTCATAGTCTGGGGATCCAGGGAGCCAGGAGACTGGAGATAGAAAGCAGAAGTACACTGGGGAGGTGGGTCTACCTTGGCTTACCCTCACATTTCCAGACTCCAGGTGCCTCACTCCACCCCATCCTAGGCCCAGGCTGGTCTCCCACCCTACTACCCATGGCCCCAATCAGAGCCCAAGCTGCTGCCAGCCTCCATGTTACCCCCCAGCCTGGCTAGGGTCCCTGCAGCCTGAGTACCCGGGAGCCTGCTAGCCATGGTGGTGTGCAGAGTGAGGGTGAGTTTTCATGTTGATTGTCCTTCCGTTTACCTCAACAAGTATGTTTGGGCAACCACACTTTGCCAGGCAGCAGACAGAGACCCTGCGCTGCAGGACTTCCTAGTCCTGTGGGCAGAGGTGTGTGGACGGTGGCACATGGTGGTTAGCCCCAGTCCAAGGGTCTCCACTGCCTTTCCAGCATCCTAGAGATGGGGTGGGTAGCAGGCTGGCCACTGAGACTGAGTTCAGGACAACTCCTTCGCACATTCAACAAAGTTATCTGTGACTCCCTGATTTAAAAAGAAAAACAAATACTAGCAGTGGTGGGAGGTATTTCTCCCCTGGGTTGGTTGGTAGCAGGGGCAGAATTGGTCTTGGCCCAGTGGGGAAGGGGGCTGGTGCAAGAGTGTTTGGTGTAGCTGTGAGTGGAGAAGTGAGATCTAGTGGGGTAAGTCAGTGTGCCCTGTTCCTAAAGTCAAATTCTCCCCGAAAAGTTTCAGGGCAGCACTATTAGAGAGCTGGAGGAGTCCCTCTGTACCCAGAGGGAATTAGGCCACTCGGGCCTCAGAGAAGGAGGGCAGGTGATGAAAACAAGCTCCCCAAGCCCCCATCAGAGCGGGCCCAGCTCTTGCAAATTCACTCCTCAGTCCACCAGGTCTCCAGTCCCATCCTACATCCCCGCCAGGGCACAGGAGGCCCAGATAAAAACAGGCTTTATTTGGCCAAATGAACTCACTCTCCTGGATTACCTCACTTATCAGAAAGCGAAAGTGCACCCCATGCTCCCCGCCCTGTCCCTGCCTAAACCTGTTTATCTCTGAAGCCCACTCTTTGAGACCTAAAAATCAGGGTTTAAGAGAAACGAGCTAGGACTACAGGGGGGGCACGACAATCCCTATCCTTCAGTGCACTAAAAGCCCAGCTGAAGGATGCTTCCTCAGTGGACCACGTCTCGGGGTGGGGAGGCTGGAGTTTTCTCAGCTTCCCCTTTCCCAAGCTCCTCCACCACAGCCGTCTGCACCAGCCCCTCACAAAACCGGTTCTCACCTTTTGGTGGGTGCTAGTGTTTACCCCTTTCCTCCCGAGATCTGTTCAACCGAGCCCACACACACCCCATTTACCCCCCTTCCTGGAGGCTCCATGAGCCTATTTACCGTTTTGCAACTCCATCCCTCCATAAATACAGAACTCTGCTAGCTTCTTTCCTAGAGGGCAGATACAACGTTTCCAGCTGGCCCTCGGCAGATATCTGTGAACAAGTCTCTCCCAGCCCCTACAGATAAATATGATTGTTCTGAGAGAGTGGCCTAAGTCCCAGCGTGCACACATCACAAGATAATTATACCTTATATACATACAAATCTCACTATAGAGTTATATTTGAAAGTGTCTATAACTCTAGAGAGAGATTGCAGCATGTACATATAGGACTATAATGACATGTCTATTTTTATAACTATGTAGTTATAAATAGATATGCCTATATATAGCGATAATAATATAGAAATATCTCCATCACCATATATGGCTCTAAGTGAATGCTCTAACTACTCTATATCACAATCAATAAGTATATATCTCCTGATACATAATTCTAACAATATACATTTTTATCTATATAGCTGTTCAGAGATATAAATCTGTCAGGAGATCAAGCGTACATAAAGCAGGATGGCTGTAAGAGAGTCGTATATTTTCCCATATATAAATCTGCTCCTATAACTACTGTATATGCACAAATACAATGGAAATAATTATATTTTCCTCAAACATAAATCTGTAAATACAACCACAGCATATTTAGGTATGGTTAGAGATACAGCAATATTTTCTAGACATCAGTCTGTCAATAGAGCCACCAGTGCCTCCAAACAGAGAGTTATAGAGGGAGTTATAAATAAACTCTCCAGATGTGAACAGATCAGTAGAACTAGATGTAAACACGACTCCAAGCCATTCTTCCTTCTTTTTCATTGTAAGATATTCCTGAAGCAAGCCCAGTCATCTAACAGGGTGCAGAGGTGTCTGGGTGCTGGTATTTTCCCTCCAAGGAGGGTCGGAGGTCGCTGGACTTTGGGAAACCGAGCAGGAGTGGGTGGGGGACAGTGCCCGCTCCCAACGCAGCTCAGAAGCCCCTTCCGTCAGTCTCCTGGTGGCTGAGAGCTCCGGCCAGCGGAGAGGCCTAAGGGAGAAAAATGAAAAAGCATAGTCTGGCTTGAGTCGTTCGTCCCTTCACCGGCCCAAAACCCTCTCACCAGGGAAGCCCCGACCAGGCGTCCGAGCGGAGAGAGCCCGCGAGGCTCAGAGGCTGAGGGCCCGGGGCTGCAGGCCCGGCTGCGGAGGCCGAGCGGAGTCGCCAGACGGTGTCTGACCGCCCCGCGCCCCATTGCCCCGGGCCGCTGCATCGTCGGCGGCCTGGAACAGAAAACCTGGGCCCTCGCCCCGCGCTCTGCGCTCAGCGCGTCCACTGGTCTTATTTTATTGCTGTTTTGTCCGACTAGGTATCGCAGCGTCCTTAACCCGGTGTTGTTCTCAAATGCGAGGGCACCCAGAGCTTTCTCGAATGAGTGTGTGCACTGGCTTTAAATAAGTAACTCAGTGGATAGGCTATTTCTCTCTTCAGACCAAATGGGTCACCGGCTTCTGAAAAAGAATCCAACCCTCTGAAAGGGTTTCTGACAAATCTTTAGAAGTTCTCACGCTCATTTGTTACGATGATTTTCTTTTCTTGTCTTTTGAAAAATGTTGGCTAATTTGTGTTTCTATATTCCTCTTTGATTTTTATTTTTCTTGATACAATAGTTTTTAAAGGAGGGATTTCGTTAGACCCGAAACTGTGGGGCGGCTTCCTCTCCAGCAAACTTAGTATCTCTACGCCTCTGACTCCCCGAATAAACAAACTCATTAAATGACCAGAAAACTGTACCTGAAGAGAATGAGGTGGATGTTGCAGGATCCGGGACTGTGGTCTTTGCCTTCATGAAAAATCGGCTAGGCTCCAAGCTCGCGAAGGAAAATTCAAGGCGCCTTAACTCCTCCTTTTAAATTTGTAAATAAAGACCCTAGAAAGGGAACTTGTCCTGGGCCTGCTGGAGCCCCAGTCTGGCTCTCCCCACTCCCCGGCGGCCATAAATGTTTTTCTTCTTCAGTCCGGGCCCTGGGGGCTCGTCCTCTCGGGCATTTCTGCGCTCTTGCCGGATCAAGTCTGTGGTCATCGCCTCATTCATCTCTGCCCCTTGGCCTGACCCTGCACATTTGGCCTCCTCCTTAAAACAGGGGCTCCCAGAGAGTCCCAAAAACCATTAACCACCCCCATATGTGGGATCCCTTCCCTGATCACAAGCAAAAGGCCGAGAAAAAAAAGCAATAAAGAGTGGCCTCTGGGCTCTCCTTCTCTTTTGTCCCTTGACCGGGAAAGGGGTTCCCAACCTCAGCTCCCCAAGAGCATATTAAGAAGCTTTCTTCCTCCCGTCCTTTCCTATCTTCCCCTCAGATGCTGTGATCCTGACTTCTTCCTCTGTCCCCTCCTCAAAATATTTCCTCTTGCATTTTATTGTTATCCTGTTATTCAGGGACTGCTAACTACTGTTTTATTATTATTATTCGTTATTTATTGTTATTATGATTGTTGTTAGAGATTTGTTCACCAGGTTCAGGGGACAGCAGCCTGGCCCAAAGGGAAGCCTGCCTGTCACACACACACACACACACACACACACCCCCTAACACCGTGCACACACTCACGCATATATGCTCACAAATGCCTGCTATGTTCAGGCCCCTGCACAGCAATCTAAAGAGGCAGGCATCCTCCCCTGGCACGCAAAGAACACACTGCCCACGCACGCCAGCATTCAGGCGGAACACCACCCCAGACCGACGCCAAAACCCACACGCACCGAGCTAGCAAGGAAAGGAAAATACGTAAAGAATCCCTTCTCTCCCACAACCTGGAGGGGCGAGTCAGGCCTCTGTCTCTTCCCCCCAGTCTCTTTCGCTTTCTCTTTTTTTTCCCCCTCCTTGTTTACAGCTTCAGAGAGCTCAAGGCCCATAAATCTTGAGGGGCCTACAGAGCGCAGAGCACATTTGTATGCATCGTTAGGACTCGCTAATACCTAAGCCCATTAAGGAGCATGTATGCGCGTGGTTTCCGGTGTGTATTAACTTATAGTTAAATTCTGGAGGAAAGGGCATTGTGAATTAACATATACCAAATCCATCACGGGCTTTTGTCATATCAGATTAGTCAGTTATGGGTTTTAGGGGAGCAACTTGCCTGGGTCGGGGTGTACCCACCCTCCAAACTTTGCGGAACAGGCCCGGGGGTCTGGGGAAACACGAAGACATTCCTATCCAGCCCCAGTCATTCGGATCCCCCAGGCCAAGCGGCTGCACACCTGCGGGTTGGCGGAGGGACTGCAGACCCGGGTCCGGGAGGCCAGCGCCGGCGGAGGGAGGCGGGAGAGGGAGGCCCCTCCAGCGTCCTGCTGGGGTTGAGCTGGGGCGGCTGGGCCCGTGGCTGCTGGGTCATCTGGTTTCCGCTTTCCGAAAGAAATGAGAGGAGAGGCAAGTGGAGTCGCTGAACTTTAATTAAATCGTAGAGAAGACAGTGGGGGGAATAAAAAAAAACAAAACGATCGGAGAAGGAGGAGGAGGGGGCCAAGAGGCCGAGGAAAGGAAGTCCCGGCTCGGGGAACTTGGAGATCGCTCCAAGGAGCTGAAAGCTGGACTTCGTACGAAGGCGTCCCTGTCCCCTACCCCAGCCACTCCGCCCCAGTCGAGGAAGCTAATTCCAGCCCTCTTAGTGAAAAAAAAAAATTAAAAAAAAAAAAAAGAACGAAAAGAAAAAGAAAATCTAATTATGTGGCATGTTTCACCCAGGTGTTCTGGTTCCTATGACTCAGACCCTATTGGAGCCCCAAGGATCTGGATAATTGGGCCTGCATGGACAGAGATGAAGGATGCCAGTTCTAAACGGAGGAAGGGGAGAGAAAAGTCCATCTCTTGGGGTCTTGTAGAAAATGCCAAAGACCAAACAAGCTAAATTATTGTGTCCGTGTAGATCTATTTGCCTATTTACATACAGCAGGCTGTGGGGATGAGGGGTGAGGGGAGGCAGGGAATAAACGACCCGGATGGAGCGGGCTGGCAGGAGAAAAAATGCGCCCCCCGCCCTTTGCGGGAAGAGCTAAGGGGCCTCCTCCGTGCGTAGCTTCGGCTGCGGAGCGGCGGGCCGGGCCGGGGGCGGGAGCCGGGGCCGGGGCCGAACTGGGGGAGGGGAGGCGGGGGCGGGCCGGGAGGCGGGGGCGGGCCCTCCCCGGGCGCTGTGAACTTTAGCTGGGCCGCCGCCTGTCAGCCCCAGAAAGCGTTAAAGGTGCAGCAGCCCGCGCCAGCCTCCGCAGCCGCCTTTGTACGCGTGATTTATGACTTCAATCTTGGTTCACCGAGAGTTCACACGGCTTTCGCTGCTGTTGAAGGTTAAAAGATGGTCTTCGCTTGACAAGTGGGACTATTGAAAATTCCTTCTTCTTCGTTTTTTTTTTTTTTTTTCTTTTTTTTTAGAATCGAAGAGTAGAGGCTCAGGAGAGAAAAAAAAATGCGGGCCGGGGGGGGCCGGGGGACCGGGGTTGCAGGTGGGCCAAAATGGTAGGTCATGAAGGTTTGTCCTATATTTAGGAGTTTTTGTTGCTAGGATTTGCTTGGGTGTTGGGGAGAGGGTAGAGAATAGGAGGGAGCTAAGGAAGAGATGTAAAGATCTCTCATATTTAGAGGCCAAAGGAATGGCATTAAAAAAAAAATCCCGTGCTTCCACAGTTAATGATCTGGGTAACTTGGGTCATCCGCCTAACTGATCCTCCTCTTGGGACCGGAAATGGTCCAGGTAAGGGAGAGAGTTTGGTGCCATCCACCTTACCTGGGTAACTACTTTTTTTTTTTTTTCGAAGTGGGGTCCAGCTCTGTTGCCCAGGGTGGAGTGTCATGGCACCATCATAGTTCACTGAAGCCTCAATCAAACTCCTGGGCTCAAGTAGTTCTCCCACTTCAGCCTCCCAAAATATGTGAGACTGCCCGCATGTGCCACACCGCCGGGCTGAGTAGCTACTTTTCAGTATGCTCCTTTACCCACACATTTGGACAAGGGTATTTTTAGGTCCCAGTCCTTCAACTCTCTTCATCTGGTAGGTTTAGCCTGCCATTTACATTTGATGCACATGCAGAGGCTGATGGGAAGGAAGTCTGTAGAACTGGAATTTGGAAGTCCTTTCTAATTCCAAATCTCCTTGGTCCAGGAGCCAGTCCTTCTTCCTTCCAGCATTTTGAAGAAGGTCGTGCCACAGCAGAGATGGTGCTCAGGGACCTCCTAGAGATAAGGAGATAAGGCCCCTTTGTGGTCTAAGGCTCTGAGTACTTGGATAAACAAAACTCACTCCTTCTTTTTAAATTTCCCGAGAGTGAGAGAAGAGGAGATACCTTGAAGCTGAGGGTCTACTTGGGTCTTTTAGTATTCTTTAAGATATATATTTTTAATTTCCTGGAATGGAATTTGGGATTGTGTGCACTGGGAAGGGGAACAGCAGAGAGCTGGGTCTGGAATTGGGCGTGCCTCCTTAGCCCTATTTAGGCCCCATCTCTGTTGTCGATGTTAGGTAGATGTCTTCTTAAGAGATAGAGCCATTCCCTCAAATCCAGATCCGGAAACCAAAGGCATTCACACTAGAAGGAGCACTCCCTGCTTCTCTTCCTACATAGATTTAGAGAGGTGTTCTCCTACAATGTGGGGACTTAGGTAAGGGAGAGGGAGAAGAGCCAGAAAGATGTTATCTCCCTGGGACACCTAGCACCAGGCCCTTCTTCAGGGGACCTCATATGTAAATAGCAGAATGGAGAGCAGAGAGACCCCAGAAATCCAGAGAGACCCCAGAAATCCAGAGACCAGGCTCCAAGGTCATTTTGGCAAGGATGGTCCTCTGGCCTTAGGAAGAATAGAGGGGCAATATGGCCCTGTTTAGAAGCTCGGGGTGGCTGTTAGGAGGAATCAACCAAGGAAGCTAATGAATCTCTTCCAGGTTCTGGTTGGGAAGCAGAGGAAGGAATTTCAGTAATGTCTGACCTGAAGCCCCTTTCCCACCGCTTCTGACTGTGTTCCTCACTGGGAAATAATCTCAGTGGGCTTGTGCTTATCTGCAAGTCTGAAGTAATTATGAATTATTAATTCATAATAAAGACTTGATTGTGACCATTGCTTTCCAGTGGACCCATTTATCTCCTCTTTGTCAGGCAGAGAGCAGCCTCTGTTAGCCCTCAGCTTCTGTAACAGGCAAACTGAGGCCAGCTCCTCTTGAAGGCAGTCCTTGAACTCGGCCCTACGTGGGACAATTACCTCATTACCAGTCAAGTCATGTGGCACCTCAGAGTATTTGTACAATACAGCCACCTCCCACTAACTTCAGATTTCCAAGTGCTTTGTAGGCTCCTGGAGAGGTAGAGTAGGGGATTGGGAGTGAGACTCCAACAGGGGAAGAAACTTGGCCAAGCTGTGTGTGGTGACAGGAGTGAAGGCCAGGTGGGAGGACTCCCAGGCACCCTACCTAAGCGATCTTAGGATCAGGAATGGGCATGTCACCTTTCTTATCCTAAGGAGATGCTAGCCTCCCTCAACTCTCTGGGGACCCCTGAACACACATCTGGCCCCTTCTCCCAACCTCTTTCCCCCACCGGCCTCCCAATCAAGAAGCACAGGTTCAAGACACATCATGTCCTTGGATGGCTGGTGGGGGAGAGTGGGACCTCAGATGGTTGGCGGGGGGAAAGTGGGACCTTGGATGGTTGTCGGGGGAGAGTGGGAACTTGGATGGTTGGTGGGGGAAAGTGGGACCTTGGATGGTTGGTGGGGGAGAGTGGGACCTTGCATGGTTGGTGAGGGAGTGGGACCTCGGATGGTTAGGGGTGGGAGAGTGGGACCTCAGATGGTTAGGGGTGGGAGAGTGGGACCTCAGATGGTTAGGGGTGGGAGAGTGGGACCTCAGATGGTTAGGGGTGGGAGAGTGGGACCTCGGATGGTTGGTGGGGGAGAGTGGGACCTCGGATGGTTAAGGGTGGGAGAGTGGGACCTCGGATGGTTGGTGGGGGAGAGTGGGACCTTGCATGGTTGGTGGGGGAGTGGGACCTCGGATGGTTAGGGGTGGGAGAGTGGGACCTCGGATGGTTGGTGGGGGAGAGTGGGACCTTGCATGGTTGGTGGGGGAGTGGGACCTCGGATGGTTAGGGGTGGGAGAGTGGGACCTCGGATGGTTAGGGGTGGGAGAGTGGGACCTCGGATGGTTGGTGGGGGAGAGTGGGACCTTGCATGGTTGGTGGGGGAGTGGGACCTCGGATGGCTAGGGGTGGGAGAGTGGGACCTCAGATGGTTAGGGGTGGGAGAGTGGGACCTCAGATGGTTAGGGGTGGGAGAGTGGGACCTCAGATGGTTAGGGGAGGGAGAGTGGGACCTCGGATGGTTAGGGGTGGGAGAGTGGGACCTCGGATGGTTGGGAGGGAGAGTGGGATCTGCCAGTTGTTTCACATCTGTGAGAGGCCTGGAGATGGAGAAAATTGTTCCTATCCCATGGGGTAATTTCCATCTAAATCCCTGCTATAAGCTCACCTTCACCAGCACTGAGATAATTCTCTTCATCCTTTTTTCCCCTCTTCTTCCCTCTGAACCACAGGCAGGGAGATTGAGGGCATGAGAGGCAGCTCCCAACAGCTGTACCTAGAGGAAGAGACAGAAGTAGGAAATGAGGGGAGAGTGGCTTAAGCCTGTTACTTCCCGCAAGTTTTATCTCCATTCTTCAAGCCCAAGTCAACATCCTGAAATCAGGGCCATGGGAAGCCCTCCCTCCTTGTTCCCCCAACTCACTCTCTCAGAGAAGGAGCCCCTGCCTTCCTCCCTGAGGCCCAGGCTGCTCTAAAAACTTCGTTCTTAGAACACTATCGCTTTCTACAGGACATCTGGGTTCCCAACCCCCATGTCTCTCTCAGTGCCTTTCTGGGGACCAGAGGGAGCCAGTGGTTCTGCCAGTACATCACCATTTTGTGCTCCACCAGGGAGTGGTCCATGGAGTCATCTCAACTTTCAACCCAGACCTCACTCATTCTTTCCGCAAGCCATGCCAGCATTCCTTGGTCTCTCCCAAGCCAGGAGGCAGGTAGGAAGCCCATCCAGAGGGTCCCCTGGAACTGGCTAATATAGTCTCATTTACTGTTTGATGGTAAATAAAGAGAACTTGGGAAAAAAGGGAAGGAGCAACTGCGCCCGGTGTCCTCACCCACGCCTCCCTGGACATTGGCTTTCTCCACGAAACAGTGCACTGTTGTTCTTGGACAACCATTCCCCACCATCTTCGTTGGAAAGGTTTGAGTTTCACCCTCCGTTCACCCCCATTAATCACCCCAGCAGCTAAACATCACCCAGCCCCCTCTGGCCCTTTCTCTTCTTCTTACCCTTAGTATTCATGGTGGAGCATTCCTCACTGCTGCACGCTCACAAAGACCCCTCCTCTGACACAAGGTCCCTCCCACTCCCCAACCACCCAGTCCATGATGGGCACTGCTCACTTCTGGATGTTCCGACTGCCGGTGCCCACTCCTGGACCCCATTCCCCCACTTCCCAGCCATCTCCACAACCACTGCCCCCTACCCATGCACACGTCCGTTCACCACATCTTCCTACAGATCCCTCCTCTCAGCCCCACAAACCCTCTTCAGTCTTTCCCAGCCACCATTCCGCCCTCCTTGCCCCATCCATGTGTAGACCCTGTCTGCTTTCCTATACTTCTCGCTTCTCACTTCTTTCCCACCCCAGGACATTCCCTAGAAACTTGAGATGGCGAACCTGAAACCCTTTCCTTGCAGACTTGAGAAACTGAGAGGCAGCATATCACATTGGTTAAAAGCATGGGTTTGGGATTCAAGTCCCTGATCTGACACTTGCTAGTTGTACAGACTTGGGCAAATTACTTAACCTCTCTGAGCCATCCATAAAATAGACATACCCACTGACCTTATAGAGTTGTTCTGTAGATCAGATTAAATTTTATTTGCATAGATCCAAGCATTCAGCAGGGTCTTGACAAATGGTAGTTACTGTATTACAAGCTTCTTGTGAAGAAAGAAAGAGATGTTCTTCAGATTCCAATAAAATTGAAGGAATTGCCTCCTCCAGCACCAGAGAGGAGGGATAAAAATTACACAGTCTTGCAGAATAAGCAGAGTCCCTTTATTAGGCAGTGATACTCTTCTATTAGAGGGTCTCAACTTTGGCCTCACATTGGAACCCCTGGTGAGTTTTTTGGGGTTTTTGTTGGTGGTGGTGGTGTTTTTTGAGATGGAGTCTGGTTCTGTCACCCAGGCTGGAGTGCAATGGCACCGTCTCAGCTCACTGCAACCTCCTGCCTCCTGGGTTCAAGTGATGCCCCTGCTTCAGCCTTCCACATAGCTGGGATTACAGGTGCCTACCACCACGTTTGGCTATTTTTTTTTTTTTTTTGTCAGTGTGCTGCTCTGTTGCCCAGGCAGGGGTGCAGTAGCTTGGTGTCGGCTCACTGCAACCTCCACCTCCTGAGTTCAAGCTATTTTTCTGCCGCAGCTTCCCGAGTTGCTGGGATTACAGGCACCCACCACCACACCTGGCTCATTTTTGTTTTTTTGGGTTGTTTTTTTTTTTTTTGAGACAGAGTTTGGCTCTTGTTACCCAGGCTGGAGTGCAATGGTGCAATCTCTGCTCTCTGCAACCTCCACCTCCTGGGTTCAGGCAATTTTCCTGCCTCAGCCTCCTGAGTAGCTGCGATTACAGGTACATGCCACCATGCCCAGCTAATTTTTTGTATTTTTAGTAGAGACGGGGTTTCACCATGTTGACCAGTATGGTCTTGATCTCTCGACCTCGTGATTCACCGGCCCGGCCTCCCAAAGTGCTGGGATTACAGGCGTGAGCCACCGCGCCCAGCCTCATTTTTATATTTTTTAGTAAAGACAGGGTTTCATCATGTTGGCCTGGCTGGTCTTGAACTCCTGACCTCATGATATGCTC